CAGCCCTGTACGGCCGACCTCGACGGCGCTGCCCTCCGGACAGCAGAGCGACGCAAGGCCGCGACCTATCCGGAGCTCCGGAGCGAAGGAAGGGCCGCAGAGACTCGTCGTGCTCGGCAGTGAGGTTGGCGGACGCTTCAACGGCGACGCGCACGGCCTGCTCCGGGACCTCGTTCGGGTGCGCGCGTGCAGAGCGCCGCCGGCACTGCGAGCTGCTGCAGCTTCAGCGTGGACACGACGATGGTGGAGCATATTTTCCGTCGCCGTACAGCAAGCGGTCACGAGCACGGCAGGCCGTGGCCGCTACAGCCCGCGCGACAGGCCCGCCCCTCGACCGCGTCTTCGACCTGGCAGAGGCCGAGGGGCCGAGCCGCCTGCCATTGCGCCCAGCGCCGTAGCCGTACGTGTGCTAGGCCTAGCTTTCGGAGGAAAGGTAGTCGTAGCGCGTTGGAGCGCGGTCGTGTCACCATGCAGCAGATACTGGCGAGGAAAAAAGTGTGTGAAAAAAAAATCAATGGAGCTCCACGAACCATGTATTTCACGGCGCGCCCCATCGTGCCGGTCATGACGCAATGCACTTCCGCAGATGGAACAATTGCCGGCTGGCGCAGTATGCAGCTGCTACTCGCGGTCCTATATGGGGCAAGGAGAGTCCAACCAGGTAGGCATTGTGATTGATGTGAGCTAGATCAGCTGCTCTGGCCGGCCTAGGTTTCCTCCTATCATCACAAATTCGGTACTTCCATGGAGCACAGTGCTGGTTGACACTCGTTGGAACATTGGTGCACACGATGACTTAAGGCCGCTTGATAATGTCCACAATCCACCCTGTTACCCATGTGGAACATGACAAAAACAACCCGAAAAGGCCACAAACCAGTGACAAGCCCCCATCACTGCGGAAAAGTTGCAGCCTGATTGTGGCACTGACGGGCTGGCCACAAAATCTGTCCCAAAGTGCGTCGAGGCGAGTTATCTCGAGCTAGGCACCTGCTTACGCCGGCGGAGTTAGCTCCCGCTAATGCTGCTACCCTAGCCGCGTTGACAGACGCGTCGAAAAGGCCGCCGCTGCCGCGAGAGCCCGTGCCAGCAGAGCTGCAACAGTTCCAGCCGCCCGACCGGGTGACCCTCTCCGCGACCGCAATCGCTCGGGCGCTTTGGGAGTGCAAGCAAGGCAGCGCCCCGGGCCTGTCCGGCGCAAGACCCGAGCATTACAAGTTGCTCCTGGAGCATTCTGATGCCCTCGCGATCCCTCGCGCTCCTCGCCGAAGCGGCCACCGGCTTGGCTCGAGCAGACGTGCCTCACGTGATTGCCGAAGGTCTTGCGATGACCCGCATGACGGCCCTCCAAAACCGGGCGGTGGGGTCCGCGGCATTGCCACCGGCGACACGTTCCGCCGCCTCGTTTCGGGACGCTCGCAGCGGCCTGGGCGCCTGTGTTCGATGAAGCGGGCGTAGCGCGTACGACTGCATCTCCCGGGCAGCTTTCCTGCACAAATTGCAGGAGGTCGCGCCAGCGCTGTTGCCGTTCGCTCGCCTGTTCTATGGCCGGGCCTCTGATACAGTTGGTGGGACGCAGACGGCACCCGTCACGGCATACCTCAAGAAGAGGGGTGCGAACAAGGGGACCCACTGACCCCCGCACTGCTCGCGCTGGGGCAGCACGAGGGTCTGCAACGGGCCAGCATTCCTGGACTGGCGCGGCGACAAGTGGTTGGCGGAACATGGGTTCGTCGCCTTGGGCACTGCAAATGCCCGACTTGCCTCAACGAACCGTAGGCCGCGGCGCATGACGCGGCTGTATGGGGCACTCTGCAAGCTTGCTTGGGGGAGCCTGCCGAGGACGTTGCCTGCCCTGCGCGAGACAGCGCCCTCCTCCCTGCATACTCGGGTGGGTTGGGCCTCGCCCAAGCGGTTCGCACTGCCCCTGCGGCTTACTGGGCAGCTTGGGCCGATGCGCTCCCGGTCCTCGCCGCACGCAGCCCTGCCTTTGCCGCGTGCCCTGTCTGGCGAGCAGACCGCTGCTTGTTTGCGGGCGGCGGAAGAAAGCAGGTCGCTGCTTGTGGCCGAAGGCTGGAGCGAGCCGCCGCACCGCGCGCGGCGGAGGCTGATGCGGACGTCGAGCTCGGAGAGTGGAGACATGGATGGCAGCGCCATGCGTCGCGTACTCGCAACCTTTTCTTCCGCGACCACGTGCTGTTGCCCTCCTTGCCTCCGGCCTCCCGAGCGATGCTGCGCTCGCAGGCGGGCCCGCATGCGGGTGCTTGGTTGACGGCCATCCCGAGCGACCCTCACACGTCGCTCGCCCCGGACGTCATGCTGATAGGCGCAGGCTACGGGTTGTGCTGCCGTTGGCACCGGCCACTTGTGGTGACCACGACGCGCCTGGCTGCGGACAGCGTTCGGACGCACTTGGTGACCACCCCCTGACGTGCCCTTCCTCGCCCGACACGCAAAAGTCGTCGAGCAGGCGTGGTGCCGAGCCGCCCGTGAAGCCGTCGGCCCTGAAGGGCATGTGGTGCCCCAGCAATGGCTCGCACACACCACCGCGCCTGGCGTCGCTTCAGATGACCGCCGTCGGCTCGACCTTGATGCCACTCTGGTGTCGCCGCTTCGTCGGGTGCTGGGGCCCCTTCTCGAGATGGGGCTGTGTTGCAAGTGGCAGAGCGTCGCAAGCGATCCACCTACGCCGAGCTCGCTCAGGGGGGGCGCTCAGTCCCTTTGCGTGCTCGGGTGTGAAATTGGTGGACGCTGGAACGCCTCAGCCATGTCGCTTGTGCGGCGCCTGGTCGCGCTGGGCTCTTGCCGGGCCCCACCGGCCGTGCGCGGCCCAGCCCAACTCTGTTGCTAGGGGTTGTCTCCCTTGCAGGCTTGATCCTCATGCCGACCGTATTCAGATCCGAGCAGTTGACCAGAGCACGAATCGCAGTGTTGCAGTGGTTCACCACATCGCCTCGAAGACTGAGGGAGCAGAAAAACGGCAAAAGTGCACTGGCGTAGCGATCTGTGCTGGACATTTTCTGGGTGGCCCGAACTTGGGCAAGTGGTCCCCCAACAGTGGGTGGCGCACACAACAGCACGTAATGTCCGCTCCGGTGACCGGCGCCGCCTGCACCTCGTTGTTTACGGAGCGGCGCCTCTCGGTGGGGCCCTGTGCTGCGACGCNNGACGCCACACTCGTGTCGCCGCTGACACGCGCAGCCCTGTGCTGCTGCACACGATGGAGCCCAGTATAGGGATCGAGCCTGGGTGCCGGGTTGCCCTCGGAGCAGAAGCGACAGGCCCCGCCATCTGCCCGCCATTCCAGCGCCCTCCGACCTGGGACGACGAGCTTTTGAGTTCTGTATCAGCGGCCCCCGGCTGTGGATGCCCCGTCCACATAAGTGAAGAGACGAGGGTGGCGTCGCAGCACAACGTGCCTCCACGTGGTGTGTCACCGGCACTTTCTGTGCGGCGGTGTGTACCAGCCATTGGTGGGTGGTTTAGGGCGGGGTTCAGGCAGGTTTACAATGTAGGGTCTGCAGGTCGTGTTGGCATGTATGCAAACAGGTTGCAAAGTTCAGGCGGTAGAGTCGAGAGTTGCAACCCTTCGCAGGGACGATACCAAGGGCGCACCTAAAACCACAAAGCCTTTCCTTGAAGCCGAAACCCGCAGCCCCAGCAACCAAAACTTGTAACCCTTGAACCCGAAACCCCTGCTATCCCTTGCTTATATCCCAAACCCCAAAGCACCTTCACACATCTTCAAACCCTGCATCTCTCGCTCCGAGCTCCCAAACCAAAAAACAACATAAACTCCGAACCAACCCAATGCCAGGATAAGGTTGATCCTAACTCCTTACAGATTTTGTCCCTAAATCGAGAAGGCTGCTCAGATTGGGGCGAAGGGCTGAGGCCTCTGCAAAGTACGTCGGGGCAGCCCATTTTACAGAGGCACAGTTCGGCCGGAGATCCCGCAAATTTGTGGACCGGACAGTGTATGTATGTAAACTGGGTGGTGATAGCCTCTGGCCGGAATGCAAAGGGGATGTAAGAGCAGCAATGCCGGAAGCAACAGTATAGCAGGAGGAGGAGTAGCAGTGGTGGTAGTAGTAGTAGTAGTAGTAGTAGTACGACGACGACGACTACTACTACTGCTGCTCGTGCTGGTGGTGGTGGTGCTGGTGGTGCAGCAGTGGCCACTGCAGGCGAAACACAAGCGATAAACAAAGTTGGTGAAAACCAGAAGTGCTCCAGCTGTCTCCTTACCCCGACCCATCCCCTTCCCCGTTCAAGTATCGGGCATGAAGACTTGCATGCGAGGCGAACCGGCAACAAGGCCTCTGAGCGCCGTTCCGGAGGCAGGTAGTGTTGTAGTTTGCTTTGCCTGCTTTTATTGCTTGCTATTTGGAAATTTCTGGTCGACCCGAATTGCCAGGATGACATGCTGCGCTGGTCTCAGGCCGGGCCACACGAAGAGATTTGTGATCGTACATTATTGAGCGCTTCCAGCTATACAGGCTATACAGGTGGGGCATGGCAAGTTATCCACATCGCCACAGTTTTGGGGTGAGCCATCTTTGACGCTGAGGTGGCGAAGCTTGCTGTTAAAGAGGCACAGTTGGAGGAGGCTCCGTTACCCACCGGATTCGCAGCGTTATATGCTGTTTGACGGTTCCAATGGATGTCACTGGCACTGTTGCGACTGGTGTTGACATTGGAGCAGGTACGTAAACGGCAAGCCAAGAAGACGGCACAAAAAGTCATGTCCCCGCAACATTTCGTCGATCAGATGTTTTCGGTATATATAGTTTGGAAAAGATCCACAATGCGAGATGATTGTCTGAGGAGATGCAGGACTACTTGAAACGGCAGATCGACCAGAAGGTGCATGTTCTGGATATTCAGTAGCATGCAGCAAGCTGTACACCGCTCATCACGGCAAGCTTGGCACTGAGACTTCCGACAAACAGAAAGCAGCAGAGCTTGCAGCATCCCCAGTCAATGCTAGATGTGGTCCCCAGATTCGCCGCCAGATGTGGTCGTGCCCCACTAGTATGTCAGACAGCCACTCCGAGGAAAAGAAGCTCTTCGAGGTACAGCAGGCCCTAAGCGGTTTCAGCAGCTTGGGACGAGTGCTTGCATGTCGCGGCATGCATGCACAACACGTCCATTCTTGCAAGCACCGATGGTGCACGCGCACACAGACACATAAACGCAGGCAGGCATGTCGTACATCGTGCACTGTTAAGATTTGTGGTTCGGTAGAGTTCACACCTGCAGCACTACTTGAGATAGCGACTGGCAGTTTAAACCACTTTCGAAAAGAACACTAAGAAACAACAAGGAATGTGAGCCGCACTTTGGTCTCCGCTTTAGCCCCGTAACAGAATGTAACAGGAGCAAATGGCAAGACTTAGCAGCTGATCGTGTAGAGTAGCACAGTACAGTAGAATGCTTCCCCCACCTTATCGGGGTCGCTTTATCTCGTATCGCTGGGTTAAGCGGTTAAGCCTCCATACTCGGGAGCCGCACTTCAAACAGTTCCACGTGGAACTGAGCGTCTAAATGGGATCATTGGGAATGGCTGGTTTTGATGTGCTGATATGTGCTGCGACGCCACTGATGTGTGTCCGGAGCGGCGCTTGCGCATTTGAGTGTCCACAAGATATGTTTGCGTGCACGACCTGTGGTGATCTGTGGTGTGCTTGATTTGCTATGTTTTGTTCTTACTGTAGGGGTTGTCCTTGCTAGAGTCTAGAGAGTGGGGGGCGTATTCGAGTGCGGGTGCGAGTGGGTGCGAGGGAGGGATCGAAAGCTCGCGCACCCGCAGCTGCGATGGCACGTCAAACGTAGCGACGTAGAGTTCCACCAGGAACAGGACAGGATTCTTTAACATTGCGGGCTTTTGTGCAATATGGTTGGCGCTCTTGGGCCACGTGCAGCGCACGGTTCCGGCTCCGCCGTGGATTCAAGAGCATCGGCATGGTCGGGAAAGTTCAAGCCGTCCGTCGACTCTGCAGTTGCAACGGGCTTGGACGGCCTTGGTCTCAGGCAGAGTTGGAACGCTGGAGAAAAGACCAAACGGTCCATGCCTTAGATAAGAGAGAACACCTTCGTTTCCGCAAGTTCGGCAGCAAGCACCGGGCGCAGGTGCAGGCCGAAGAACGGCTTCGAAAGGTACAGCAGGTGTACCCCGCTGTTTTCAGCTGGGACGTAGGGTGGGAGAGGGCCCGTTTGACGGACGGCGCCTGGCCTTTGGCAGAATCGTGTGCGCGTGACTGGTTGATAGCGTCTAGTTTGGGATGGCGTTCGAAGTCATGCCAGAAACAGTTGTTTTCCAATGTTGTGCAAATTGCTATGTGTAGCAGGTGGAAATATGAAACAGCCACCAAATAATGCAAGTGTTAATGTGTCGGGGGCTCGCAAAGCAGGAGTCTAGATCAACTCTATTGTTATTGGCTTCAAGTTCGGGGCTTCGCCTTTTAATTAATGCTGTAAACATGCTTGGTGTCTCGCACCTCTTGGTGAGGCGACCCGCATGCTATTTGACAACTCGTTGTCTTCTCGTTTTCGCAGCCAAAGCATCATCTACATTCATCTACGAATGCGTCTGTGCGCATGTAGCAAGTAGGCAGGGACCCAAGCACAGCCGACGCTCGTGATGTGTCGCAGTCTGCTGCCAAAAACCATCGTACTTGTACTCGCAGTGGAAGACAAATCAGTTTTCACACATTTTATGCCATCACAGCGTAAGCCTTTAAGGTTTCAACAACATGGCCATCTCCTGCAACGGCCGCCCAACATGCTGAACCTCCCCAGGCCTTGACGCTGTGTCTTGATTGCACTTGCAAGCCAGGTTGTCCGGGATCGTGAAGTTCAATCTGCCTCCCCCTTACATTCCATGGACATGCCTGCATGTCAGGAGCTTGGCACGTCTCCGCAGCCTTGCTGTTAGGAAGAGGTGAATCGAAAACGAGAAGCTGAGAAAGAGCAGAAGCTCGAAGAGGATGTTGGCTAGCTGATAACTTCGCACACCATGAAGGGATGAAGGGATCCTCGATCTTTGCAGTTGAACGTCCATTGAGGGCGGTCTGGATGCAATGCAAGCTAGTGTCGATGGTGCCACAGGGTGACCTATTGTTCAAAGTTCCGAGAAAGCCTCAAGTCCGCCACCTGAATGCTGGCACCGGTTGCGCTATGAAGAACTGTCAAGCCCTGATAGAACACTGACCGGCGCCGTGGTGAGAACCTAAATCGCTCCGTACATAATTCCGGGTTACTAGGCCAATGGTGGTTTTGCCACGACGGCCTGCACTTCCATAGCTACCCAGGCTTTGGTTTGCCTGCAGTGTGCGGTCTCGTGGGAGACTACTTGAAGTCTCGGTTTGACAGCGCAGTAGCCCGAACTCTCCAGCAGGAGTCCTGCTTCGATGAAGAGTCGCTGTGTGGCGATGCCGACTTGACTAGTCCACAGTATGATATAGTATGTGAGTATTTCAGTCTACCGGCTACGTCATGCAGTTTGAAGTGCTGTTCAAGCCATTGTCAATGAGACCGTTTGCTCATGTTTCATATGCTTGCAATCGTCATGTGTGCTGGCATCAACCAAGTCCATTCCTTCAACTGAAGAGCCCGCGCATGGCCCTCATCGTCAGCTTCGGCATTTTGAAGCACGTCGACGTAAATCATGTAAATTGTAACTCTCAAGCGATGCAAAAGAATTCTTGCACCCTTTGCAAGAGCTTCTTGTCTCGAGCGCTCAACCTGTCATTTCCCGATTGTTCTATGACCTTTGTCGATCATCTATGATGGGTCGAGGAGATGTTTCTTGTTCGAGTTCTTAAGAACTGCAGCGCAGCGGGCTTAGCACCGCACAGGACAGACGCCTCGTGTTACGTGCCGCACAAGAAATTGAGTTGGAAAAGAAAGCCGCACAGGCGCAGCCGACACGTTCACGAAGCTGTGAGCATTTCTGTGGGAATCTCTGAAAGGCCAAGCGAGAGCAGACGAAGCTTGCTCAGCGGGCTTTGGTTCAGGAAGTTGGAGAGGCTTGTCGCAGATTGTGGCATCTAGCTGCGTCAAGCCAACATGCTCCGTTGATTTCGGATGCTTCAGGGCTGCATCGCATGCGCTGCAGGACCAAGAGAAGAAGAACCAAGCGCGGCGGCGACGGATCGAAGAAGAGAAACGGGCACTGCAAGAGTACGCAGCTGCCTCACCGTCCCTTTGCATGGGAGCGTCAAGGACCTCTGCCGCAAGCAAGGCACAGAGGTATTCGAACAAACATGTGCTAGGCTGAACTTTTGGACAAGCAGGAGGCGCTTTGTGCTTGAATTTGGCATGCGAGTGCATTCGTTTCAGGCGCTTTGTGGTCTTTGGCTCCATAAGATTCAATGGCCCTTCGTGTGCCAGGCCCGCAGCAAGGCGACCAAGCCCAAGATCCGAGACCAGGTCCCGGCAGCTCCTCCAAAGGTGAAAAGGAAAGGGGAAGAGCTTTGGCTGCACATGCTGCCACGAACATTTTTCTCAGGCTTGTCATGTTAGCAGTCGCAAAGAGACGCTTTTTTACATGTGCTTGTGAGCTTGTACATGCTGGTGCCGATGCCAGTTCCAGTTTTCCAAACTACCTCCTTCTAGTTCTTCAGCTTCTCCCTCACCTGCTTCGTTCTTTCGAACACATGGGTCCGGTAGGGTCAATGATGTAAAAGAGAGTCGTCTTTTGGTTGGGCACAGCCGGAGGATGCCGCACAAAGTTGCCAGATGACCTGTTACTCGATGCCCTTTGGGAGACCTTCCAGCGCACGCCGACCTCTGAATCGGAAATACAATCGGAAATAGAGCTGACTCCGACAGCCCGACAACTCACTTGGGTCAACGATATCCACCGACAGTGCCGCAACGGCCTCATATGGCTTCTCCCGTTGCTTGAACTACCTGTGCTTCATCGATGACCTCATGTGATCCGTCAAAGATCGCCAAACCCCGTACCCGAAGACTCTGGAGACTCAACTAACTTTACATGCTGAGCGATCAAGAATTTCTGCGTGCAGCCTTAGCCTTGGCCCACGACAGAGCAAATGCCGGCATCGCGAAAGGCCTGGGGTGGCCGCCTTTTCCGACTAGGTATCTGGTTCGCGGCACTTCGCATGCCAAATTCGCATCAGCAGCGAAAGACAGACGAGCTGAAAGTGCGAAATGCCCAAGCCCGGACCTTCTTTCCCCCCGAGCGGTTCGGAAGGTTATCTTGTGCATTGGGCAATGCGCTTTCGTAAAGACGTCATCACGTCATGTTGATGTGGCAGAGGCATATAGTTCAAAGGTGCTTCTAGGATTCTAGGCTGTAGGCAACGGGTGCCTTGCCCCTAAGGAGTTGTACCACGATCCAGAGATAGTGACGAGAATACACAATGAAGCAGTTGCAAGAGCAGAGCAGGCCTTGGGAAGCGGGGGAAGCGCAGCGGCACCACGAACGTCTCGTCTTTGTGTTTCCCCGCCAGGCTGACCTGACCAAGCAGGCACAGTTAAAACTTGAGCGACGCAAGAACCAGGCCAGGGACGAGCAGGGTACTTGACTCACGCGTCACCTTTTCGCGGTGCCCATGGTGCCATGTTTGGGCGATTGCATTCACACAAACTTTGGGGTGTTGATGGACGTCCCGATCATGCATCTGTCCCTTGCAGGACTTCCTTTTCCAGCAGATCGCAGAACGGGACCGGAGTCACGGGATGTGCGATTTTGCAGTGAAGAAAGTGCGAACGGATGCCCGCTCGCACAGGATCATCAGAAAAGATTGATGCAGGAGCAGAAAGGTGGCTTGAAAGTTGCTGCTCAGGCAGGGCCCCCAGGGCTCTGACATCATGCGAACATCTTAGCATAACCTACGGTGGCCTATCATGCAGGCAGCAGCTGAAGAGCATCGCGTAACAGAATCGCAGCAAATGCTTGAGCGGAAAAAGCGATACTTGCAGCCCGATGCTGAGTCTCTGCGTTGATTCATCTTAACACCACCCAACACATGCCAGCAACTGTTCGACAGCTTAGTGATGGCGAGGTACCGGTTGGACTTGGAGGGTCAAATGCGAACCAAGCAGACAACACAGCACACTTTGGAGGACTCTCGGGCCCAAGGCAGAGTCGCAAGTTCGGTGACGTTCAATGCTTAACCTCTTCCATGTGCAGCCAGAGGACCAGATGAGTGGGGCAGAAAAAGCTATCAATCGTCGGTATGTGTTCGAGGCCCGCATGCCTTCTCGCGCAGTTTTGTCCTCTTGCAATGCCGGACGATAACACGATCGCGCTACAGATCCAGGCACTCCAGAAGACTTCGGACCCCGAGGCGGCAGTTGGTGCTTTCCATTTCTGCTGCTGCGCTGAAGATGACCGCCAGGCATTGCCGGCGCCATGCACGGCTGAAGCTGTGCCTCAGTGACTGCACCGAAGATATTGGTAATGATGATCGCTGACATGCTTAAAATTGGCTGGACATCCGCTGAAATGTGGAGTTGTCCAATCAGCGACGTTTGCCGAATCCTTGCAAAAATTGCATGCGGAAGGCGCGGGCTCTGGGTTTCGGGCTAACTTCTCGGCAAAGGTGAGCAAGCCGAGGGCTAGTAGCAACACCTTACAGGCCGGTGCAACACGTGAACCCCTGTAGACCTGTAAACCCTCCTTAAAATACGTCCTTTGAAATCCTTGTAAATCCGAAACTTCTCTTAGTACTCATAGACTCATAGAAGATAGATGGTTTTCAATCCTACGTTACACCCTAAACTCTTTCAAGCAGACCTGTCCTTTTCAACCCTGAGTATTTTGCGCGGCATGCGCGGCCCCAGCTCAAGCAATTTGATCATTTGCACTTCTTATCCCATTGAATTGCCTCCGAAAAAACCTAAGGCCCACGCAGGGCCCATAAGTTTAGAGTGAATGCCCCGGGCCCCAATTCAAGTAAATTGGTCCAGTGAATTTCTTGGAAAAAACGTAGGGCCCAGGAGGAGCCCACTCGGGCTGTGGGAAGGCCTTTGGGTTTGAT